TAATTTTTTTATTGGTTTTTACAGACTAGGATTGGGATTCTAAAAATTCTACCCCCATGGGGGTAGATATATGCATATGCGCAAAACTAATAAAAAAAAGTTATAGGCTAATTTTGATTGACGCTCATTTATCAAATTTTAAAGAAAAAAATTAATAACATAGTATTATAATAATAATATCATAATGGTATACTCAGAATTTTATGTATATGGAATAACAACTGCGAAGTGCGCGATTTGACACCACGACGAATCTTTGCAACAACGCATCGCGAAATTTTGTTCTAAAAGTGACACTTGTGACATTTCGGTTTCTTCATTGCACCCACCGTTGAATATATTTTGTGAAAATATTCTGGAAGTTTAAAAGTTTTAAATTGGTGAGCGCCAGAAGTGCGAAGTGATTTTTAAACTTTTTCATGCGAATATAAAGTTGGTTTATTTCATTCGGTAAGTTATTATTTCGATGATTTGTTTTTAAATCCAATTTAAGGCTTCTTTAAGAATTAAATTATTTGATAAAGTTTTATGAATTCAAAATTTTCAATTATTTACCTGTATTAAAAAAATATTTTTATGTAATATAATATAATAATTATGTATAAAAATAATTGTTGACATTATTTTCTTAAATAATAAATGATGACGATGTTAAAAAAAGATTTTCCTTATAAAAAATTAAAATATAATTTATCAAAAAAATGCATTTTAATAAAAAAAACAATGTGTTTTTAAAACAATAAAACAGGCAATAATTGTTTTATATAGGGTGTTCTAGAAATTACTTTTTTAAATTTTATGAAAAATTAATATACAGGGTGTCCTACGCTCTAGTTCCTAATATTTCATTGGAACAAAATAGTTATTTATGTTATGGGGCTGAGAAGTGAGTCTTTTTGTGTTGAGGACTACAATAGTGCGATGTATAAAAAGACACTTTCATTTCATAACTTCATTTGTTAAACAATACTTAAAATGTACAATTATAATAATTATTAAAAGTAGAAAGTGAGGTAGATTAGATCTGACAGTAACCTAATTTTTTTATTGGTTTTTACAGACTAGGATTGGGATTCTAAAAATTCTACCCCCATGGGGGTAGATATATGCATATGCGCAAAACTAATAAAAAAAAGTTATAGGCTAATTTTGATTGACGCTCATTTATCAAATTTTAAAGAAAAAAATTAATAACATAGTATTATAATAATAATATCATAATGGTATACTCAGAATTTTATGTATATGGAATAACAACTGCGAAGTGCGCGATTTGACACCACGAAGAATCTTTGCAACAATCACGCATCGCGAAATTTTGTTATAAAAGTGACACTTGCGACATTTCTGTTTCTTCATTGCACAAACCGTTGAATATATTTTGTGAAAATATTCTGGAAGTTTAAAAGTTTTAAATTGGTGAGCGCCAGAAGTGCGAAGTGATTTTTAAACTTTTTCATGCGAAAATAAAGTTGGTTTATTTCATTCGGTAAGTTATTATTTCGATGATTTGTTTTTAAATCTAATTTAAGGCTTCTTTGAGAATTAAATTATTTGATAAAGTTTTATGAATTCAAAATTTTCAATTATTTACCTGCAGAAAAATGAATAGTCAAATCAAATAAAATTTGGTTGGAATAAACAAATTTCTTTGTCATATATCCACGAACATATATTTTGTTAAAATAATTAATTTTTTTTGTTGAAAATTAACAAAATATTTTGTTATGTAAATCAAACTATAATTTAAATTAAGAATATTATTATTCAAACCAAATCAAGGTTTATATTAAGAGAACTCTAATATTACTTAACTTGAACAAAATATTTTGTTATGTAAAATAAATTGTGTTTTAAATTTAAAAAAAAAATTATTCAAACCAAACAGGGATTATTTTAACAGAATTTTAATACTAGTTTAATTAAAAAAAATATTTTTTTACTTCAAGCCCTGTATATTTTTTAAATCAATATTATTTAATGTTTAAATCAAATTAATTTTTGTTCTTAAAAAAAAATAATGTACTTTATTTGAACTTTAATTGAGTTTTGCTTAAAAAAACAATTACTTGAATAATTTATATATATATATATATATATATATATATATATATATATATATATATATATATATATAAATAAATATATATATATATAATTGCAAAAATATTACTTTAATATTAATACACTAAGATGCAAATAAATCGATCCCTTACATAACTTTGATGGCAACTTAAAATTAAATTAAAAATTCAGCAATAAATTTAAATAAAAAGAATTTAATTTTAAAAACCAATAATTGGAATTAAAAATAATATAAGTTCTTTTTATTTAAATCTGATGCGTAATTTTTTAATAAATAGGCATGCAAAAAAGTAATATGTGGATCTATTTATTTTGCACCCAAATGTATAATACTTACCTAAATAACTTGTCTTCTTTAAATAATTATATGATACAAATATGACAATTGTAATAATTATATTGAAATATTTAAACCCAAAATATTATTTTTTTGCTAATGTTTTAAAAATATTCAACGAGTTACTGCAAAATATTAAAGATTGTTTGTTAATTATTATAGTTTTAGTGTGAAATACTTACGTTAAAGATATATTTTATTATTAAAAACTGTAAAAACAAATTTTATTTTAATACTTTAGCTAAATAAACTTAATTTTGGTATTTTTTTTGCCATTAAAACCTTTTGTATTGGATTGTCAATTAAACCGATCGGGGCAACATTTATATTGAATTTCTTTACAAAAAAACAATTTATAATATCAAACATTTCATTTGATACAAACATTTTCCCTATAGGGATAATTATACCCTTATATATAAATTACAATGGTTTAAGTATAAAACTCATTATTTATACTTAAATCAAAGACCTTACAAAATGCTTTAAAAAAATCAAACTGGTTAATAATAAAACAAAAATTTAAAAAAACATATATTAGTTTTATATAAACTCCAAGATATAAACATTAATATATTCAAACAAATAAAACAACCTTACAAATATTTTTAACTAAAAAAACATTACAAACTCAAAAAGGTAGAAACATATAATTGGCCATTTGGTGCTGTATAAAGATTAAGAGAATTGTTATTTTTAAAGTGGTTAAAATTTATTACTTCATGATTATTACTAAAATTAACATTGTAAGCCCTTAAGTGTAGGTCAAAATAATTTGTGTTTAGTAAGTTACAAAAAAAATATACATTATCTTGATCCAATAAAATGTGCAATACTTTACAAAATTTTGGAATATTAGATTTAATATCAAAAATTAAAATAGTGTTATTATCATATCGCATATTGTTAAACTCGTACCACCTTATATAATTATTTTCATTTGTAAAGGAAAATTTATTTATATTATAGTATTTACTTTTGTCAATCAAAAAATTATAATCCGGTCCAGTAACAGATGTATTATTTAAGCCTTTTTTGGATATAAGCCGATAACAATGTTTCAACTGAATTTTTAGGGCTAAACTAAAAGAAATATTTTTTCTGCTAGAGATAATTCGAGCATTTGTTTTAAATTCTTTGTGTTTAGCTTCAAATCTCATTGACTGAATTAGTGTAGGTGGGCCAGTTTTTTTAATAACCCTTGGATAATGTAACAAAAAATGAAATTTTGGCTTTAGAAAATCATTAAATAATTCTAAGTATAATTTGTTATGCTCTGAAACTAGTGACTCTAATAACTCAATGGTTTTAAACGAAATTGCAGATGAATTTACAATTTCTGTTATTTCTAAGAGAATTAGATAAAATAACCAAACTGGATCATTTTCTGGGATTAAATCCCCAATAATTAAATTAAAATTTCTAACAAGGCACAACATTTCTGCCGATGAAAAAATAATAGCACCATTATCCAAATGTTCTTGTTTTACGCAAGGAGGTTTATTATTTTCAGAATATCCGTAACTAAAATATCTAACTCTTTCATTTAAATGTTGTAAACTAAAATATTTTTTAAGGAGAAAAGATTTAATTATTCTAGCCATATCGTAGCGATGAACACCTTCATTTAAGTCATGCATTATGTCGCAAGAAAAATTGTTAAAAATATGAAAATTAACCAAACGATGAAATACACATTCTTCTTTAATTGCAAAGCTTTTTTGTAAAACAAAAGTATTATATTCTTCTGGCTTCCTTATTAAAGCTTGATTTTCGATTGTAGCAACTTTTAATTCATTTTTGTTACCTTTGCAAAATCTACAATAATTCTTATGGGAAAAACTTTCACTTAAACCAAATAACGAATGTATACCCAAGTTATCACCTAGGATAAGCACTAAGGAAAAAAAAACTTTAATAACTTCACCGCTCACATTAATTTCTATACCGTGTTCTTCTAAAAAATATAATTCATCCACAAGAATATCAAAAACTTTTTTATTTCCAAAGGTAAGGCGGTCATTACTATGAAATAATAATGCCAAAAAAATATTTTCCAGTCTGGTGGCAAATTGAGGTGGTAAAGAATAAATTGAGTAATAAACTGCACCCTGTTTGTAAACGCCAGCGTGGCTTCCCAGTGGGTTATTGATCTCAAAATCATCAAAATATATAATTAAAGGAAACACGTTTTTATTTTTGACTTTTTTTAAAAGTTGTTGCCATAAATCTGCTTGCATTATATTAATAACATAATCATCGGATTCAGATATTTTTTTATTTAATATTTGTTCTCTATAATCATAAATTACACTGTAAACATTTGGAATTTCTAAAAAAGTTTTTAACATACACCTCATTGGTACAAAATATCCCAGTCTTTTCACGAGGCCTAATGTTGCCTTTCCACCTTTTCTTGAATCCTCGGCCTCGGTTCCAAGAACATAAGAAATGGGTTTTATTAGATTTTCATTATTTTGAAAATAATTAAACCTTTTAAATTCTGTGTCTAGGTTTTTAAAAGGATTTTTTAAAAAAACAAGCATTTCTTTTGCCTTTAAAATATTATTGCTGTTTTCCAAGGAATCTTTTATAGGATAAGTTAGTAATGATTCAATTATATTTAATACACCGCATGAAAATAAATCGGAAATTAAATCAATAATTTTTTGGACAAGTGACCTATTAAGAGTTAATGAATAATATAATTTGGAAATAAGTTTTTCAATATTTTCTTGTAATAATTTATAAAAATTTATTTCGATTTCTTTAAGATTGGCAAAAGACAATGGTGATAGTTTCTCATCTAATTCTGGCAAATTATGAGGAGATTCTTCTGTTAAAGTATTTTTATTAGGAACAGTTTTTGTACTACTATTAATAATATTCTCAGAATTTTCTATATTAATTTTTGTAGTAATACTCAAATGATTTTTATTGTTTATATGTGTTAATATAAGATGTCTTTTAAAAGCGTAAGAGTTAGAAAACGTACGTTTGCAATCACCTTGAAAACAATTAAAACGATTTTGAATCTTGTGTCTTATTTTTAAGTGACAAATAAATTGTTTTGGTTCATCAAACGACTTATTACAATGTGGACACTGCATGGCTAATGTTTCTGTCTTATTGAAATTGCATTAACATATATTAATTATTGTTTTAAGTTTTCGATTAAATCCATAACAAATGGAATTATTTTATCATAGGGAGTATCCACTGCATATACGACTTTTTGAATTAGCAACCATATATGCTCGGACTGCACTGGATAATTACCATGAAACACATGAAAAACTTTAAAACAAACGTCAATTGCTTTTTGAACGCTTGTAAATTTATATTGGATTTTATCAACAACTACGTAAGCAGCAGTTATATCCTTTATGGAAGGTCCCTCAACAATTACATAAGGTTGGACGGTTTGGTTCCATTGTAAATGTTTATTTTTTATTTCTTCCAAGGTTTGATTAATATCTCCAGGAATCTATAAGTTAAAGGTTTTTTTAAGTATCTAAAGGAAACTTTTTGCATGGACATAGACATTTTTAATCTGTAATTACTAAAAAGAACCCTAGATTTGCGCCCATGGATTGAAATTAATTATAATTTTATAAAAAAAAGTCGAAATAATAAATACAGGCAAAATGACCTTTACGGGCATACTTAACACACCCTATGTTAAGTTAAGTTAATACTTTTATTATATATTTAAATTGACTAAAAAAATATCTAACTAGTAATATACCTATTAACAGTTAACACCACATTTTATTAAATAAATTGATGTTTTATTTTATAAAGTAAAAAGAATAAAGTCCTACCTTTACATGTACAATTAAACTTTCCCATGATTCTATAGTAGAAAATTTCCAATGTTTATGGTTATTAATTTTTGTTCTTCCCTTTGGTGGAATTATAAATGATAGTAAAGAAAACTGTATATAAGTCTTGGTATCTAAAATTTGTAAAATATTAAAATATTTTTTAATGCACTTTATTTAAATATACATACTAGGCAATATTTCTTCATAATTTTCCAAAGTGTTTATTAAATCTATAGCAGTTTTCTTTTATAAAATCACATTTATATAAAAATAGTTTTTCAAAAAAACTATCCCAATTTCTAAATAAATTCAGACTTAAATTTGGAAAGAGAGCATCAAAGTCATGTTCGATCTAAAAAAAATATTATTATTTAAACATAAAATACAAAAACATTTTAGCAAGTTAAAGAACTGTTTATGAGCTTATCTTCAATCAGTCTATAATTTAAACGTTATTTTTGTTAAGATTTGTTGCCAAAGTGAATAAATTTGATAAACTTTGGACCAGTCAAAAAATGCCTACTGTCGGATCTATCTAACCTCAGTTCTTACTTTTAATAATCATTATTATAATTGTACGTTTTATATATCGTTAGAAAATTTTGCATTGAGGATAAAATTGAAAACTCACCAATTCATCAGCAGTTGCAATATTAAGAATTGGCCAGTCTTCTAAAAAGGTACTTATATTTTTATATTCTACATTTCTTCTTAGGCAGAAAGTATTTTTCCACTTTTGAATAACTTCATCCCATGGACTGTGTCTTGTAAAGAGCCAAACTTTATCATTATTTACTTCATCATTAAATTCATTTGTCTTGTCAGTACTATCTTCTTCTGGATCCTTTTCTTCTGTACTAATTCTTAATAAATTTCTGCATTTATCAACCAAACGCCCTTTGGCAATTATTGGTCGATTTGAAATTGAATGCCGTTTTGAAATAGCTGGTACATAATATGTTGATGCGCATTCGCGTGGAAATAATGTTATTATTTTCGAAGTAATTAAATTATAATTTTCATGTGTTAGTCTATGCTTTAGGTAAAAGTCAAATAGCCTCTTCATTATTATATCGACTAAAAGAGTTTTTTTACTGTTATCAAGCAAATTGTTTTTTTTATAATATTGTAAAATTGTGTTTCCCAGCGGAGTAACTTCTAATAGATTTTTTAAATCAAAATCAGGAAATTCTATCGGTTTTAAAAAATTTTCCAAACCGACAAATGATGTTTGCCTATTAACAAATGGAGCATCATATGTTGCCAGTACAGTAAAACCTTCAGATCCTGAAGTAGATGCACTTGTATCATCTTGGCATTCACTATTTAGATTCTTAATCTAAAAATTATTTTATATTGTAACGTTTATTTAAAAATATATATCTGTGCCCAAGAGTCAAACTGTATTAAGTCTTCTTTTTAAAAATCACTTTACACATTTTTTTGCCTACATGTTCTTGCTCTTTCCAATGTTGAACATGACCAAGTCTTTGCTTTCTTATTTTTTTAATGTATCAAAAACTAATTAGGCCAGAGAAAAAGCGGAAAAACGTAGGCAAAAAATATGTTACGTGATTTTAAAAAGTGGACTGAATACAGTTTGCCTCTGGGGTATAGGTATAAATATAAATATCCTTCTCTCTAAAAATGAATTTAATAGTTATTAGTGGCTGTTTTTTCACTTGGAATACCATGGTATCCCAAAATTGAACAGCCAATTCTTATGTAAAATTGTCCCTGAATCCGAAAATATCGTAAAAGTTAAAAAAGTAGAACAGTTTTTGAGATATAGTCAATTTTCCATTTAATATGGAATTGACTATATCTCAAAAACTGTTCCACTTTCATAATTTTTGATAATATTTTCGGATTCAGGGGACAATTTTACATAAGAATTGGCTGTTAAATTTTGGGATATCATGGTATTCCATGGTTAACATGGTACAAGTGAAAAAGCAGCCACTAATAACTATTAAATTAGTCATTTTTGACTAAATCATTTTTAGAGAGTTTATTATAATATATACATCCTTAAAGAAACTTACATTTACTTGGTTAACTTTATTTTGATGGTTTTTAATTTTATTTAAAAAAAATAATCGTGGTCCTATTTTGGGAATTATTTTTTCCAAACTCGAATTTTCAAGTAAAAAGAATGAGTTTTCATCTATTTCTTCTTCTGTAAACATATGTTATTAATATATATTTTTTTAAATTAAATTAAACTATAAAAGTACCTTCAAAGTTTGAAATATATTTTTCCAAGTTCCATTCAACCAATAACTCTTTCCAAGTCATTGTTCTAAAATTTAATTAGCAAAAAAATTAGAAGGTTTTTATTATTAAATTCAGTAGACATTGAAAATGTCTTATGGGAAATCAACTTTGGACCCCAATCCAACCGAACCAAAAAGGGGTTTCAAGCCATAAGACATTTTTAATGCCAAAATATTTTTTGCACCATAGGTTACAATTTTAAAAATTTCTTAAAACTAAACTAAAAAATAAAATACTTTTTTATTATACCTAGTTGTTAGTAATAGCTTTAAAAATAAACCTATCATATATTTTTTTAATTACTTCTTTTTAGTTTTATTAAGGCTATAAAGTTTTGACAGAAAATATTTTTTTACCTTTATAATAAATTGCCAAGGAATTTGTGGCATTAAAGCAGAATAAATTAAAGTTAAAAAAATTAATTAAAATTAGATAAATGGGTAGGTACTTTGAAAAATTAATGCTTTTTTAAAGAACTGAAACATTTTATACAGGGTGTCCGGGAAAAGGAGGTCAATCCGTTAACCATATATTCCTTGAGTTAAAACAATACTTTCATAATACCATTTTTCAATTTAGAGCTTCATGTTCGATATACAGGGCGACAAAGTTTGAAATTTTGAAAAATGTTTTTTGTTTTGTTGGTCTCAAAAAATGTAACTATTTATGTTGAAGTAGTGTACCGAATTTAAACTTAATATCTTATCAATTACTCGAATTATTAAAAAAAATCAGTTTTAAATTTCAAACTTTGTCGCCCTGTATATCGAACATGAAGCTCTAAATTGAAAAATGGTATTATGAAAGTCTTATTGTTTTAACTCAAGGAATATATGGTTAACGGATTGACCTCCTTTTCCCGGACACCCTGTAGAATAGGGCTTTTTTGTATTTTTTTCTTAAAAGCAAGTTTAAAAACGAAATAGGTATTCAAAAAAAAACCTTCTTGATAAGTCTATAGGTACCACATTATAATACAATATATCAAAATTTTAGTCAAATCAAAAGTAGGTACCTAGTCGGGTTCAAAATATGCCGATTTGGCGTTAAATGCTCGTATTAGCTTTAATATGATGCCCTGGCTATAAAGAAATACTCTGGCTACGGCCCTGGTTTATTTTATAACAGAAAACCCCATTTTATTGTTTAATTTTAGTTTCCAAATATTTGTTACACAAATTATGCTATACATGCTTATAATACTTGATTTAAGAAATAACAAAAATGGCTTCAATGGCGTCAATGTAGTTTACTTTCATTTTTATTTTTTTTTAAATTTTACTTTTTAAATAAAAACTATTTTAATTTTAATTAGCTTGTATTTAGACATAAAACTTCCGGTTACCTATTCTTTGTTCTATAAAACGCTTGATAAAACGATACATTGTTAATAAAGTAACCCCCAACTATTAAAATAATAGTTCTAAACTTGATAAAATACTTTTTAATCATAATTAGAATACTTACTAACAAGTATTTTTCTTACCTTATATTATAATTAACACTAAAAAAACAGTACCTAAAGTGTATTCAAATCCAAGCTGGACTAAACAAAAACGCCCAGACGCATGATAACTCGTTCTTATTAGTCGATTCTAATGGTGTGACTCGGATTGTGAGTTCTTATTGGTCGATTCGGAGGATTGTGTTTACATTTAGTCCAGCTTGGATTTGAATAGACTTTAGGTACAAACAAAACTTCTTAACACAACGGCAAAAACTTTCTGGAAAAGAACCGTCAAAACGTGTTTCCTTACAGGACAACCAGAATGTGGCGTGATCGAAAGACGAATTTTTATTGGTTGCGCCGTCGCGTCCGACTTGGGACGAAAGTATACGAAGAGCGAATCATAATAAATAACGGCAAGCACTTCTCTATTCCTTTTGACCAAATATAAATACATTCAAACGTGTATTTTGTTGAACTAAAAAAATACTATTTTTAAACAATTAAAACCTTATGTTAAGTTAAAAAAATAAATTTATTTTAAATAATAAAATACTTTTTTAAAATAATAAGTTATTAGGTTTAATGAAGTAAAATATTTTGTTAAATAAAGCTGGAAATAAAAATTGATCTGAGTAAATGTTTGGTAGCTTTAAAAAAATAATTAATTATATTTAATAAATATTTAACAAAATATTTTAATTATCGTAAAAAATACGGTCTTTTAATCCAAGGTTCAATTTATTTCATATAAAAAAAGTTTTATCTATACAACCAAATTTCTTCAACAAAATTTATTTAGTAACTGCAACAAATCATTTTTCTGCGTGTGTATTAAAATAATATTTTTATGTAATATAATATAATAATTACGTATAAAAATAATTGTTGACATTATTTTATTAATAATAAATGATGACGATGTTAAAGAAAAGATTTTTCTTATAAAAAAATAAAATATAATTTATCAAAAAAATGCATTTTAATAAAAAAAACAATGTGTTTTTAAAACTTTAAAAACAGGCAATAATTGTTTTATATAGGGTGTTCTAGAAATTACTTTTTTAAATTTTATGAAAAATTAATATACAGGGTGTCCTACGCTCTAGTTCCTAATATTTCATTGGAACCAAACAGATATTTATGTTATGGGGCTGAGAAGTAAATCTTTTTGTGTTGAGGACTACAATAGTGCGATATAAAAAAGACACTTTTATTTCATAATTTCATTTGTTAAACAATACTTAAAATGTAGGTACAATTATAATCATTATTAAAAGTAGAAAGTGAGGTAGATTATCTCTGACAGTAGCCAAATTTTTTTATTGGTTTTTACAGACTAGGATTAAGATTCTATAAATTCTACCCCCATATGCGCAAAACTAATAACAAAAAAGTTATAGGCTAATTTTGATTGACGCTCATTTATCAAATTTTAAAGAAAAAAATTAATAACATAGTATTATAATAATAATACCATAATGGTATACTCAAAATTTTATGTCTATATATCGTCGCCTTCAGGAGATAATTGCTTAACTCCTTGTTGTAAAATTTTACAGGAGGAAAGAAAAACATATTAAAGGTGTATTGGTGTATCTCCACATTACCGCCAAAAAATTGTTTAATGGAAAATTACGTATCTCCAATCTGAACTTTATGTTAATAAAAGTAACCTTAAATTATTCATGGTACCTTAACTTTACACACTATACAATCTTTCATACTTACTTTTAACAAATTTCACTTTGGAAAACAATGGCTTTACAGAAAAAATAACTAGGCAATAACTTATACTTGTCAATGGCACTGATTTGTATTCTGGAGTTAGGCATTATTCCCTGGACGCTCCTCCACGATTGGAGATACGTATATTTCTTTTTCTAAATTTAAAATTAACGGTTTATTTTAGAACTTCTGTAACTTGCATATAAATTAGTTACAGTTTTATCTAATAGATGCCACTAAAATACCATTTTAATGAAAATGTGGAGTTACGTGATTTTCTCCTGAAGGCGACGATATGGAATAACAACTGCGAAGCGCGCGATTTGACACCACGAAGAATCTTTGCAACAATCACGCATCGCGAAATTTTGTTATAAAAGTGACACTTGCGACATTTCTGTTTCTTCATTGCAGAAACCGTTGAATATATTTTGTGAAAATATTCTGGAAGTTTAAAAGTTTTAAATTGGTGAGCGCCAGAAGTGCGAAGTGATTTTTAAACTTTTTCATGCGAAAATAAAGTTGGTTTATTTTATTCGGTAAGTTATTATTTCGATGATTTGTTTTTAAATCTAATTTAAGGCTTCTTTGAGAATTAAATTATTTCATAAAGTTTTATGAATTAAAAATTTTCAATTATTTACCTGTATTAAAATAATATTTTTATGTAATATAATATAATAATTACGTATAAAAATAATTGTTGACATAATTTTTTTAAATTATAAATGATGACGATGTTAAAGAAAAGATTTTTTTTATAAAAAAATAAAATATAATTTATAAAAAAATGCATTTTAATAAAAAAAACAATGTGTTTTTAAAACAATAAAACAGGCAATAATTGTTTTATATAGGGTGTTCTAGAAATTACTTTTTTAAATTTTATCACAGACCTTGTAGGTCTGTGAATTTTATGAAGTTTTAATATACAGGGTGTCCTACGCTCTAGTTCCTAATATTTTATTGGAACAAATTAGTTAATTATGTTATGGGGCTGAGAAGTGAGTCTTTTTGTGTTGAATAGTGCGATGTAAAAAAGACACTTTTATTTCATAATTTCGTTTGTTAAACAATACTTAAAATGTAGGTACAATTATAATCATTATTAAAAGTAGAAAGTGAGGTAGATTAGATCTGACAGTAGCCAAATTTTTTTATTGGTTTTTTCAGACTAGGATTAAAATTCTATAAATTCCACCCCCATATGCGCAAAACTAATAACAAAAAAGTTATAAGCCAATTTTGATTGACGCGCATTTGTCAAATTTTAAAGAAATAATTAATAACTTACTATTATAATAATAATACCATAATGGTATACTCAGAATTTTATGTCTATGGAATAACAACTGCGAAGTGCGCGATTTGACACCACGACGAATCTTTGCAACAACGCATCGCGAAATTTTGTTCTAAAAGTGACACTTGTGACATTTCGGTTTCTTCATTGCACCCACCGTTGAATATATTTTGTGAAAATATTCTGGAAGTTTAAAAGTTTTAAATTGGTGAGCGCCAGAAGTGCGAAGTGATTTTTAAACTTTTTCATGCGAATATAAAGTTGGTTTATTTCATTCGGTAAGTTATTATTTCGATGATTTGTTTTTAAATCCAATTTAAGGCTTCTTTAAGAATTAAATTATTTGTTAAAGTTTTATGAATTCAAAATTTTAAATTATTTACCTGTATTAAAATAATATTTTTTTGTAATATAATATAATAATTACCTACGTATAAAAATAATTGTTAACATAATTTTCTTAAATTATAAATGATGACGATGTTAAAGAAAAGATTTTTCTTATAAAAAATTAAAATATAATTTATCAAAAAAATGCATTTTAATAAAAAAAAACAATGTGTTTTTAAAACAATAAAAACAGGCAATAATTGTTTTATTTAGGGTGTTCTAGAAATTACTTTTTGAAATTTTATGAAAATTTAATATACAGGGTGTCCTACGCTTTAGTTCCTAATATTTCATTAGAACAAAATAGTTATTTATGTTATGGGGCTGAGAAGCGAGTCTTTTTGTGTTGAGGACTACAATAGTGCGATGTAAAAAAAGACACTTTCATTTGATAATTTCATTTGTTAAACAAAACTTAAAATGTACAATTATAATAATTATTAAAAGTAGAAAGTGAGGTAGATTAGATCTGACAGTATCCGAATTTTTTATTGGTTTTTACAGACTAGGATTAAGATTCTAAAAATTCCACCCCCATATGCGCAAAACTAATAACAAAAAAGTTATAGACTATTTTTAATTGACGCGCATTTGTCAAATTTTAAAGAAAAAAATAATAACTTATTATTATAATAATAATACCATAATGGTATACTCAGAATTTTATGTCTATGGAATAACAACTGCGAAGTGCGCGATTTGACACCACGACGAATCTTTGCAACAAACACGCATCGCGAAATTTTGTTCTAAAAGTGACACTTGTGACATTTCGGTTTCTTCATTGCATCCACCGTTGTATATATTTTGTGAAAATATTTTGGAAGTTTGGTGAGCGCCAGAAGTGCGAAGTGATTTATAAACTTTTTCATGCGAAAATAAAGTTGGTTTATTTTATTCGGTAAGTTATTATTTCGATGATTTGTTTTTAAATCTAATTTAAGGCTTCTTTGAGAATTAAATTATTTGTTAAAGTTTTATAAATTCAAAATTTTCAATTATTTAGCTGTATTAAAATAATATTTTTATGTAATATAATATAATAATTACCTACGTATAAAAATAATTGTTGACATTATTTTCTTAAATAATAAATGATGACGATGTTAAAAAAAGATTTTCCTTATAAAAAATTAAAATATAATTTATCAAAAAAATGCATTTTAATAAAAAAAACAATGTGTTTTTAAAACAATAAAAACAGGCAATAATTGTTTTATTTAGGGTGTTCTAGAAATTTCTTTTTGAAATTTTATGAAAATTTAATATACAGGGTGTCCTACGCTTTAGTTCCTAATATTTCATTAGAACAAAATAGTTATTTATGTTAAGGGGCTGAGAAGCGAGTCTTTTTGTGTTGAGGACTACAATAGTGCGATGTAAAAAAAGACACTTTCATTTGATAATTTCATTTGTTAAACAAAACTTAAAATGTACAATTATAATAATTATTAAAAGTAGAAAGTGAGGTAGATTAGATCTGACAGTATCCGAATTTTTATTGGTTTTTACAGACTAGGATTAAGATTCTAAAAATTCCACCCCCATATGCGCAAAACTAATAACAAAAAAGTTATAGACTATTTTTAATTGACGCGCATTTGTCAAATTTTAAAGAAAAAAATTAATAACATACTATTATAATAATAATACCATAATGGTATACTCAGAATGTTATGTCTATGGAATAACAACTGCGAAGCGCGCGATTGGACACCACGACGAATCTTTGCAACAAACACGCATCGCGAAATTTTGTTCTAAAAGTGACACTTGTGACATTTCGGTTTCTTTATTGCACAAACCGTTGAATATATTTTGAGAAAATATTCTGGAAGTTTAAAAGTTTTAAATTGGTGCGCTCCGGCAGTGCAAAGTGATTTTTAAACTTTTTCATGCGAAAATAAAGTTGGTTTATTTCATTCGGTAAGTTATTATTTCGATGATTTGTTTTTAAATCTAATTTAAGGCTTCTTTGAGAATTAAATTATTTGATAAAGTTTTATGAATTCAAAATTTTCAATTATTTACCTGTATTAAAAAAATATTTTTATGTAATATAATAGATATAATAATTATGTATAAAAA